GTCCCTGATTGATATCTAGCAATGTGTCAGGGCAATACATGTGAGGGGAAATGTTACGTGGTATGACAAAACCAAATTCGTTCGTTTACCGTGAAACTATAATCCCTTCGTCAATATGATCTGATCAATTACGAGATATGGAGTTGTGTCAATCTCGATCATCGATCATATCTTTCACTCCATTATTAAGTCAATATAAATCGAAAACTCCTTTTCGACTTATGAGTACACCTTGGCCAAGGATTTCATCATTGACTTAATTGAATGAAACGCAGATCATAATCTCCTACTATCTAAGAGTGACGAATCCTTTATTGATCAATCACAACCTTCATACGATTCTTGACATACCCGAACGATGTCGTATTAGCGGCCCTTTTCAGAGCAACATCCAACACCGCCAAAGTATGACTGTCCTCATATAAGGTACCATGACGACCTCAAGTCAAAGGACCAATTTCACTACCGAACGTTAGAGATTAACCACCGACACTCAGATAGTTATCCATGTGGAATCTCTCGACGGGTCTCCAATGTTTTGTTCTATAACAAACATCCACGTGTTCATTTAAGTGTCACCACACTTTAACTTGTGAGATCAGCTACTTACTTCACAAGTAAGAAATGCCACACGTGATGGTCTATCCGTAATAACGATATCCGTATCTCGTTATTACTTACGACCACGGATGATTTAAGATTCAATCAGATGTAATTTGTATCTCACAATCACAACTCCTTGTGATTAACAAATTACAAATATTTGAATCTACGGACTCTATTATTTATTTAATTGTCTATTAATTAAATAATAGATCTGCCATTTAATTGCATTAATTATATATATAAAAGTATTTATGTCCAAAGTTGATTGGACCTAGGGCATAATACTTACAGGTTCAACTACACATTTTCCCATAAAATAATTTTAAATGCAAATTCAAAACTTTTCCTTACTTTTAAACCACACTCTTTTTAACAAAATACTATTCCAAAATGTATTTTGGCCCTAAAATAGGTCTCAAACAGGGCTAATTTTATTGACCTCACTTCCTTATTGTCAACTGATCTCCAGCAACAAAAATACCTACACATATGTATCTTGCACCCTATTATAGAAATAGTTGGACATCAAGATCACTGGACTAAAAAAGGGGCCGATGACCAATGGTACTTCGATCAAATTAACTGTCGATACAGGTTACAGAGCGAAACGGGTGTAGGAGACACAAATAAGCAAATATTTTGACTGAGTGTTTTGAATTGCTGCCTTTTCCTTTACCTTTGCATGACTATACATAGGGAAGAGTTCTTCTAGAATTGGTTAAGATATTGCAATCTTAATTACACGTGGTGTGTTGTAATGGTCCGTTAGAACGGCTATGGCAAATTTCCCTTAATGAGTTTGTATTCTTACGTGACTGGAATTTCTTGTAGATATTGAATCTCCAAGATTTTTCTTGATTCTCCTAAAATGATAAAACACATATTGATTTATAGGGACTACTACTTTATCAAATTTCCTTCCTAAAGTACGTCGGAATCCGGATTTGAAAGCTATGGGACTCTTCAACCACCGAATCCCTAACCGCTTCGCTCAAAATATCTGAGGCAAAAGGGTTTGACCGGTGGACGTGAGTTAAGTTATTATAGAAAGATCTTGAAGAATGATAATACTTTCGAAGCCGAACCTAGTTGGTCAAATATCTTCACTTGAGTCCAGAGATTGCTGAATATGCAATGTTTCCACGTCGCACTCTTGAATGTTTATGTGACCTTCACTGCCCGTTTGTTCTTACATGGTGGCTTTGTTGATTTGAGGGTGTAACAAATACGTTATCCTTTAAAAATTTATTCACCAATTAAATACATTGTTAACCATTAAATATATAATTTATATTTTGTATGTAATATTCTATTATGCAATTAAAAAAATATTTTTATTTTTGGACTGAACTGATTTTTAATTTGTTGATATTTATTTTGTTAGATTTTGAATTTTTTTTGCCCGGAAATTCAACTATCCAAACGGTTAAATCCAGTATTATAAACCAATATCAAGATTGTCATACACACACTGGTAAATTTGTATTTAGCGGGAAAAAAAATTAAGCCAACATCACGCGGGCTAATTCGTCTGGAAGCTGATGTACAGAATAAATAAAAGATTCAGGGAAGGGAAAATGCATTACATTTGTTTGAATTAGAAAAATTAAATTTGTGAGCAGACTATAAAGAAAAAGACCAAATCAACCTTAGAATATGAAGAGATCATTTGCATGGAAGTAATAAAGCGTGAGAAAAGGAAATTGTTATTATAAATTAACCAACTGAAGTTTACTTTAATTTGTTTGAATAATATTGAGTACAAATAAAACATCTGCAGTAGAGTTGTTTAATTAATGGCTCTCGAAATTTTTTCTTTTTGAGCCATGAAAATGATCCATATTGTGGAATGTAAATGAAAAGATGGGAAAGGGTCTGAAAAATTCTTTATTTACTCAAGGGAATCCACCACCTCCTATTCCACCTCCAGATCCTCCACCAAATCCACCTCCTCCGCCGATTCCGCCACCAATACTTCCTCCTAATCCTCCAATGCTACCTCCAATTCCACCACCAATTCCTCCTCCAAAACCTCCAGAGCCAATCCCCACTCCTCCTCCTCCACCTCCACCAATACCTCCACTGATACCTCCAAGTCCGCCACTTGCACCCCCGCCAAAGCCGCCACCTCCACCTATCCCTCCACCAATACCACCCCCTAAACCACCTCCACCACCAAGCCCTCCACCTCCTGAGATCGGATGATCGAAGGAGAATGTTTTCTCATCATTGAGAGGACCCTCTGAGCTGACAAGCTTTCTTGCATTGGCGGTGCAAAAAAGAATACCAAGAAGAACCAAGAGATTAACAAATTTGGAAGTCATCTCAATCTCCGAATAAAAGATATGCCTTGATTCTTGATTGATGAGAATTTAGGAAACGAAAAGGGGATTATAAAGTGCTACAAGTAAACAATTATTGAAGTGAATCGCTAGGAGTATTTTAACCCCTTCATCTGTAAACCTCCTCCTAATTGTTAACGTAAGAATTTATGTGGCTCATGTAATTTATTAAAGAAACTGTAAATGAAATTTTAATTGAAGTAGTTTGGTGAAGTTAATGAATTCTCTAATTTGGTCTTATTCATTACTGATGCATTAAATAATTTGGAAGATAGAAAGTTTAACGTAAGGAGTGATGATATTCTTAGTTGATCACGACGGTAGTTGTCATATGTGGCATAAAACGATCAACTTCTTGTGTTTGAAACACTTCAAAACACAAGAAACAACGAACTGAACGAACTTTTTTTTGCTCCTTTTAGAATGAAAAGAAACAAGATTTTGATGTAAAATTTTGGTAGGAAAAGGATGTTACATCATATGCTTTGATTGCATAAAATAGGAGTGAATGAAACCATCATATAGGAATTCAATTTATAAGGGTTGATGTGTTGCAACTGAAGAGTCATAACCTAAAAATCAACTTGTTTCACGAAAAGTTGCACATGTTGATAGCCACTCTTCTCGCCCTAGGCTGCTACTCGAGCGGCGTTCTTTATATAAAATTTGATTTTTTATTTCGGAAATCATGTTTTTCCAACCCAACTTCGTTTACTAATTTCTCATTCATCCGAAAATAGTTTTCAACATTCAAATATAAAAAATTTATCTACTCCACGAGTAGAACATGATTGACTCATTTCTTGCCAAATTCAAGTAGCGAGACCCATCCAAATATGTGGTCAAAATTTGATGAAAATAAACTTTATAAACTATTTTCCAACATTTAGTTAGTATGACGTGATAACCTTTTACAAAGAAGCTTTGTAAGATATTAATAGAGAATTAACGTTAAAAGGGGATTAGGGACGAAGCCAACTCTTAATCATTAATAATCGAATATCAACACAGTATTTGAAACATGAGTGATTGTAAGTATTATAAATTTGTCCATAGGGTAATGTGCTTGGTAAATGTAGCACAAAAGGATAACTTTAAGCTATTAAGCTTTTAATTGACTTATATAGACATACTAGCTATTTAAATTTTTTACGAGAAATCATGGTAAAGGAGGACACATGACTTATTCATATGTCTTTATATGAGCACATAATAATATGCAAACGTGTGTGATGAGTTTCAATATGCTTTTAAGATTGGCCTTGGAAATGGCCCCGTGTCAGGGTAAAATAGTCGTGTGTGTGGGTAGTTTTCGTCATGTAATCATGTAATTGCCTAGTCTTACCAAAATGTTGATTTTTATTCATGTCAATCTCTCATTTTAGATTAGTACGAAGACAAACTGAACCATTTAGAAATAGATTAATTAAGGATTTGATAATTGAAAAACCTATTGAAACCTCTGACTATTCATTCAATTAAAAAAAGAAGAAGCACTGTTACCCTATTATGTGATTTATTAGTTCAATACCTCAATTTACGTTTCAAGAGTCAAAATTATTGGTCGACGTTTATTGACTTTTTAGGCATGAACAATTATTTATGATAATATTTCCTTATCTATTTCACAAAGAACGAATTTGGAAGCATCAATCAGTGTTGAACTTCTATTATTTCATTGCTTTAATCTTGTATCAAAACTAATATATAACTATTGTAACGTTTATGTTAATTAGGCTTCAGTTTATTCATCAACGTTAGACAAATTTTTCTATGTTATCTTGTTTGAAACAATTACTTTTATTTCACTAAAATTTGAAATCAAATTGAACCGCAATATATGGTTGTTTGGTTTTGCTTTGTTTCTTACTGTTTCACGCGGGTTAGTCGCTAACAATTAAAAAGGGATCAGACGATTGTGTAAGGGACAAACCTCTTGAGACAAAGTCCCAAAAATGGGCGTTTTTTATTGACGATGACTTTACAATTGAAAAGTAAAAACAGAATGCTTCCAAGGAGCGCAAGCACACGAGTTACTATAAAAGAAGTGTTTAAATCTAAATTAAGAAATTGAAAGTTACATATTCTCTGTTTGAGAGTGTTTGATTCGGGGTCTTTTGCTCTATGTCTTTTCTTCCTTTTATACTCCCTGGGTAATTTCTTCGTGATCAACTGCTTAAGAAACCGCTTGATCGCTCTATAACTGTCCACTTTCCTTGTAGTGGCCAACTTGTTATGGAACTGCCTTCTTTAACTGCTGTCACTACTTTTGTCGTTCAACCGTCTTCAATTGAATTTATTGAATCGTGGAACGTGATAGAACTACCCAATAACTGCTTCATTAACTGCACTTTTGGGTAACCATGACTTCTTATGTTTGCTAAGATGATGGGCGACTTGAATATTTGGACGAGAGCAGAGTCACAGCTCTGGACGACTGCATGGCAATTCATTCGCTCAAATCTTGGACGACTTGCAACCTTGGGCGATGGTATTTCTGCGTTCATGGGCTTCCTTATTTGGGCATTTATCCTTTATTGCCTGACTGGGTCGTTCTTTGGGCTATTTAATTTTGAGGATCTTCTAATTGGGCTCCATTCCTTGGCTATTCGACTTGGGCTGAACTTTTTGTGTGTCAACACTTACGAAAAATGAAATGAGTTGGTTTGGATTTCAAAATAGGCGATGATGAGGTAAATAAATAATTCAAATGTAAGACAAAACCATTCATAAATGTAATCTTGTTCAAAAAGAATAAAAGTTGTTAGGATTTTTACCAATCTCCCATGTCCCAGGAAATAATGATCATTCACAGATTTGCATTAATAGATAGGAAAGAAACCACAGCAATGGCAGAACATAAAACCAGCAAAGAATTAGACAAATAATCTCAATAATTTCTTGGTCTTGGGACTAAATTTCATCAACCAGCAGGGATTTAACCCCAGTCAATCTGCCATTCAATAGGAATATTACATAGGAATTGTTTTACACAAAACAACACCACTCACCAACACTCATCAGGCCTTACCAGTAAGAAAATCACAGAAAGTTACAGAGACTTGTTGCAAAGAATTTTCTCTCTCAATCTCACTTTCTCTTACTACAAAATGTGTTCCCCACATTCTCTTGCTCACACCCTTTCACGTATCAGCCATCTATCCTACTTATAGGCAAAGGAATGTAGAGATTTACAAGAATATGTATGTATGATTCAGCTACAACAACTATCAGAAAATCTGTTAGAACCAAAGGCTCCTAACTGATTTTTCTAACTCACTAACTGATCCAATTAATGAGTTTAACCAACCGAATCAAGAATCAACATTTTCTCTACAAAAGTGAAGAATGTTCTGCTGCTTATATTCTTCGTATTCAAACATTTTGCTGATTCTCACTACTTTTTGAGGTTTTACACAATTCATAAAATTTTATGCAAAAGGCATGTATAAAAACAAACCCGTTATGGATAACACAGAAGAAAGCATAAAAAGAGATCATAAAATTAATATAATATTTTTTTTTTCTTTATATTTTCACTTCTATCCGTCTTTATGGAGTCTATAGTATAAAAAAAAATGATTTCCAATGAATTCATATTACTTTTCAAATAACACAATATCAACTATCAAGTACATATACTTGGAGTGTTACCAAATCTTATGAGATGCATCATTTTTTCATGACATCTAATCTTAGCCAATTTCAAAATGGACGTCAGACAAGACCTAGGCAAGGCCCAAGAAGTGACCGCCTTAGCCCACAATCTTTGAAGGTGGTCCTTTGATTTCCTACAAGTGAACAAGATTGTGAACAAGTAATAAAGTAATTAATAGAGTATTAAACCCACGAGAACTATGTATTTTATTGAATTAAAATTAATTGCAACTTTAATCGAATATCAAACAAGTTTTGTTATCTTTTTATATTAATATCTAAATTATTAATTAAACTAGAATTTTTTTTTTTAAATATGTGAAAGTATTGCTAAGATGTTGAATTTCTCTTGCTATTCCATTTTTAGTGTAACAATTAAATTGACAATTTGAAATCATTTATGTTGATCAATGTTCATAATTTAATTGAAAACATCTCTCGATAGCAATCAAATTTATTCCCCTCGTGTGACCCTTCTATCTCTCAATTAAAGATGCAAATATGATAAATACATTAACAAGTGCTAGAACACCTATTGAAACCATATAAAGTGTATAGGTATATTTTTATCCTATATTGAATCTTACAATGTTTATTATATTATGCATAAATCATATTCTCTCTCTCGATAACAATAAAGTCTACTAACAATTTAATTGGTGATCAAACAATAGAAAAGAATGATAAAAAAGATAATAAACATTCACAAATCAAACGAAATTAAAGTGAAAATAATTAATTAAAAACTAAAAATGGCATAATAAGGGTTTAACTCATCTTAGCAATATATAAAACTAGCCTAACTTATTGAAATTACAAAAAAATCATATTTAAGCGAAAATACATAATCGAAATTTTTGATAAACTGAGAAGATGGAGATGAATATTGAAATTTTGAATCTATTCAACGGTTTCCTGATGAATCTACTTTTGCGCTCTCTTTTCTTTGCCCAAAAACCAAGTTTGAATCTTCACTTGATTGAATTCTTACAAATATCTTTCAATTCTCTTACAAAAACTATGAATTTTCCTCCTTTGATCATAATAATTAATGAGTATTGAAGTATAATATGTATCCGAAAGATGTATGAGAGGTCTCCTTAGTTGGTTGCCATGTTTTGTATTTATAGAGGCGAATAAAGTCAAAAGTCGTGCAAGAAAGTGGTTTCCATGTAGAATTTTAAATGAACAAGGAATCTGGCTTGGAATTATTTTTCTTGTACAATTGGGGTTAACAACCCTGATTGACAGTGTACTAACAAGAGGGGCGACCCATGATTTTTTTATTCAGCGTGAGCCCTCTTCCTATATGTTTAATTGTCAACTGGGGTTGTTAGTTGACACATAGCACAACTGATCTGGCTTGAATCAACTATTGAAATGTTGCAATTCAGTCCCTATATTTTGGGTTTTACAATTTTTCAACAATTTTCACTCCTTTCTTCCAATTCCTCGTTCAATCATTAAGTTTTACCCATTTAACATAATATACAACAGTTTAAAATATATTTTGTCAAAAGAACTATCAAATATCGCTATTAGTTATTTTCTACAAACAAAGATAAATTAAATGAAAATGCTCATCTGTCCACAACCAATTATTAAGGGTTTAGTGGTAGTGTGTTCATACTGAGCCCATAGGTATACTTGTTTCGAATCCTAAATTATCTTTCCGTTTTTACGGCAATTTGTTTGCATATGGGTTGCTATGTTTTTCTTTTATTTTTTTAATTCGTCATAAATCTTTATGAAGGAAAAAAATTTGAATGCACAATACGATTTGACAGCCTAACTTTTATAGTTCGATCAGGTTTAAAGAAAATCTTAGTTTGGACATGACGTCCATACACACAAGCATGCAGGTTTTATTTAATTTTGATTGTTGCTCGATGATTACACATGCTCAAACATATTTTTGGCTCAATTTGGAGCTATTTAATTTGTGTCCAACCTAAGGAAAATAAAATATCAAAACCTTTGCAACAGAAACACTCTAATTAGGATAGCGTGTTCGTGTTTGTATTGGACACGTGTCAATACTGACACTTTTTGGACACTTTACGATAATCGTTTTTTTCTTATTATAGCTATTGTATATTTTTAACTCAAAATTATTAATAAATAACAAATAAGTACTCATATTTGAAAGATTTCAACAAGAAAAATCAATAATAAGTATAAAAATAAATTTATTCTATATAAATGATGAATTTCAAAAAAATTAATTAATGTGTCGACGATGTGTCATATCAGTACATTTAAAAAAAATCATGAGTCAATGTATTCACACGTATCGTGTCGGATACACATGTCCGTATCGGTGCATTATAAATCTAAACCTTCATCATACACAAAAGTCTTCTATGACATCAGTCAAAATATATCCAGATCGAGCGTTGTCAAAGTCATTTTGAATTGATCATCATAATTAAGTTTGATATGACTTATTTATTCGGGATTAAGCATTGGCGAATTTATTCACTTAGATATTATGGCATTAAAGTTCCCGTAAAATTATTAAATTTCACATTTTTAAAGTGTGCACTATAACTTACTTTTTATAGTTGTGACAAAATTATAAGAATAAGCCAAATTTAACCTTATAACATAATAAGATTTGCATCGAAGTAATGAAGCATGAGATAAGGAAAGAGGCATATTAATTTAACCAAAGGAAGCTTGAATTAATTGGTTGAGCATTGAAATTGAAACTTCTTTAATTATTCAAGGGATTGCTCCATCGCCTATTCCACCACCATATCCTCCACCAAATCCAAATCCACTACCATATCCTCCACCTAATCCGCCTCCACCTCCACCTCCACCTCCGCCGCCACCACCTCCTGAATTCCAGTGATCAAAGAAGATTTTTTCATCATTGAAAGAACCATCTGATTCAACTAGCTTTCTCGCAGTGGTGGTGCAAATAAGAACACCAAGAAGAACCAAGAGAACAAATTTGGAAGTCATCTCAATTTGCAAGTATAAGACTGCTCTTGATTGATGAGAATTTAGGATATGAAGAAGGGATTATATAATGCTTGAATATCAATTATTTGCATTAAAGTTTAATGCTTGAATTAATGTAGGAGTTAGTGGAGTCTCATTAACTTGACGGTTATAAAGAAAGTACTAGTACTTTAATTTATATTTTTAGTTATTAATTAGTGAAATAAAGGATGTTATTTACGTTACTAGTATATGTATCCGCATGTTCTCATTTCTTTCCAAGCGTTTAGCTATTAAAAAAGCTCATTATAATTAATAATTCTTCTAATGCAATATTTCAGATTACGCATTTACGTTAATTTATATTCCACTAGATGTGTTATTTTTCATAACTTGAAGAAATTTTGAGTCAAGTATCAGATAGATCTAAAAATAAATGTGGGAAATGAAATTTTACTTGAAGGGAATTCTCTGGCACGAAATTCAATATTTAAATATCTCTCATTCTGATAATTGAGACAGAAAATCCATCCGATACTATTCGCTTGCTATTCGCTCTAGCAAGTAGATCATTACAAAAAAGTTCTTGATTGTTTACATATGCTCGAAACAGTCTACGTAATTTTTTTTTTCCCACTTTTAAATTGAATCATTGTATCCTTTTGGGGAGGGTTATATACATATATACTTTCGTGCAGGGATTTTCAAATAACAATATATGTTTTTTCTTTTTCATGTTATGGTATAAACTATATATGTTATTTGGAGGATTGTTTGCTAGCTATTAACAATTATTTATTATCCTCTTCCTCTTAGAATCATTAAAGTTCAATTTTTCAATATGTTTTTAAGATCGGCATTGCACAAAAGCACGAAAGGGTCAAGAATTGAACCAAAGGTATGCACATATTAATATTCGCTGTATTTAATTTTCATTATGTTCTCTGTTAATATTAATAGAAAAAGAGAAAACAAATATGGCAAAAGATTCAAAAAAATTTGATGATTTGCTTTAACATTTATGTAGCATTTAGTGTTTTTAAAAAAAAAAAAAATTAAATGAAAGAGTAAATTGGATTGTAAAAAGAAACCAAATTCAAGTAATTATCTATTTTGGGGGTCTAGAGTTTTTCCACATATTTTCAAATTAAATGGCACATTATTTAAAGTAATAGTGTACTTGAAAATGTTTAGAGCTGGTGTATAACATTCATATCCACGTCGACTGCACTAACCGAAAATTTTAAGTTAGCAAACTAGAAAAAAGTTGGGCCACTAATAAGTTATCACAATTTTCTGGGGCCTTAACTGCTTGCTTAAGTCTTGGTTCTTCAAATTTACTTTTTTGAAAATTCAACTGTCCAAACAGCCAAAACCAATCGCGGGTGAATCGGTTTAGGAGTTGAACTGGTCCATTAGCCGGGTTTTTCCCAGTATACAGCTAGTCTGACTTGAAGCACTGTCCAGACAAGTTTTTTGGCCAGTTTCAGATTTTTCGTTCAAATTGGATGGACTAGTCCTGTTTGATAACATAGGTATTTGTTGACCTCGTTTCCCGTTAGTGTGACACGGACAACATATATTGGGTCATTCGTGTACATGTAAGCAAATTCCAATACGTATGAATAGGCTATTAGTCAACAATACTTCGGGTTTGGACATGTAAGAAGCTCTACAACACGAGAGAAATATGTTAGGATTCGGCAATATATTTTGGGAACAATAAACAATCGCTAACAACTCAAAGAAAGCAAGATAAATGAAACTCCAACAAACAAATGAGAAGACAAATAGCTTTGTGTATTTGCCTACAAATGATATAAGGAGGGGGGTATTTATAATGTTACAAATAAAGTAGTGCCCAATGGATGAATATACTTGCCATCATCTCTTGATCCGAAGCATCCAATCTTAGACATTAATTCGCACTCATTAGCTTTTGGCACATTTGATGCTCTTATAGAGAGTAGCCAACCTTGACTGACAAAACTTTGACATTTTACTCATTATGAAGGTCCCATCAATCATTCCAAAATAATCATACATAAATTCAAAATCTTCACGTGTAGGTCGTCACTTAAGCTTTGTTTTGACGTTTGTTGAGCTTCATTACTTTGGTAGAGAGACTTCGGAGCTTTGTCATTAACATGAGACCGCCATGACAATTACGGCTTTGGTGCTTCGGCTTTACATATTCCAACAATCCATGTAGCTTCATCGCAAGGGCTTCAAAGGGTCGATTACATGAAGCCTATGTAGTGAGGCGCAACAATAGTCCTCCAAGTCCAAGAATGATTATTTATATCATGCGTGGACATCAATATTGAGTGAAACGTATTTTGGGCTAGTTTTCCTATCATAGTTAAATTTTTGACAAGCACACGTCCCCAAGTCCAAGTATAGATATTTGTATCATGATTGGAATTCAAAATTGAAGCCGATTCTTGTATGTTGTCCTATTTCAATAGGAGCTGAAATTTATTTGAGTCGAAGCAGGGAAGTACTGAACTGTCAAGGCTCTTTTATTTTGATAGAAGATGAATTTTTTTTGAGCTGAAGCAGAAAAGTGCTGAACTGCTGAGGCTCATTTAATTTGGTAAAAGTTGAAATTCATTTTGAGTTGAAGCAGGGAAGTGTAAACTATTGATGCTCCTTTATTTTGGTAGAAGCTGAAATTTATATGAGCCAAAATAGGGAAGTGTTGAATTGTCGAGACTCCTTTGTTTTGGTAGAAGTGACATTGACAATGGTGCCAATGACTTGATTTTTTGCACTTTTCCAAGAAAAAACAGTTGCAACATTGTCACTTTCGATACACACACACCCGTTACATAATACGTAATGATGTCCACGCTGCAATGTTCGCACTGAGGCTCATAGGTACAGAGCATGCCTCAATCTGAGGTGTTGCAAAAGAAACCATTCTAATTCAACGCCCAAGATGTAATCAAGAATGGACACTTCAGATGGATTAGATTTCGATCCAACGACTGTGATTCTATTATCTTTTGTATATAAGCTAAAATCCTACCATTATTTTGACCTTTACCTTTGTGAAAAGCTTCAAACTCTCCAGCATTCTTGATCTTTTCCGATAATCTCTATTCTCAGGCGACACCTCCGATTCCCATCGTTTTCACCTTTCATAAGATTCTAGACTCCTTTATTTCCATTTTCTCTTTCAAGTTTAGTGGCTTTCGACTCGAATGCTATCAGTGGTAGGATAATAGTCACAAGGCTAGTGAAGTAGCTATGCTCGATGGATTGGAGGAAGGATACTAGGCAATGAGAGCGAGGGTCCCACTGTTAGGATCCCAAACTCTATAGAATTCTTAGTCTCATAGACCCACGAACGTGCCTATTATCCAAGGCCTGATTGTATGGCCGTTAGTGAATACTTGCTGAAGGCAAGTATGTGTCTACCTCTATACCCTTTTTTGTGATGGTGTTTAGGTCTTTTATGCTGACTTCAACCCAATTTTTGCCAAACGAGTAGAATCAACTAGTTGGCGTTACTTTTTATGGAAGGAGACCTTGCTTGGCAAAATGCCTTTCCACGTCTTCTAAACACTCTTCCAACCTCGTGTCCTTGGAAAAAAAAGAGTCAAATGGGTGGTATTACATCATACCTTGGAGAGCCCATGCTCATTTCGTACTGGGTTTGTCATCTTCTATCAAATGAGGGAAAGAAACCTGGTTTTGGGTGAGGGGAAATGGAAGATGGTGGAGGGGGACAAAGCTCTAGCTTGCACTATACTAACCCAATATTTTGAAGCATGTGAGTGGTCCCTCTACTACCTATCTTGAAATACTAATACTTTTATTGACCTTTTTTGTTTTTCAGTTTTAGGGAACTGCTTTGAGCTCCACCATACTGAGTGGGACGTCATCGATGACCTTTACAGACGTCATTTGAAGTTACACCACTTTGACAACCTCATTGATCGAACCAAGTACTTCTTATACTTTAGATTAATGACCTCAAAAGGTAGATCCCGAAGCCCTTTTATAAGTATAGAGTTCATTTCTTTAGATTTTAACATTGTTTTTACTACTTGCAGATGATTTTGGAAGGAAAAAGTACCAAAACCCCGATATGGCTTTGATCTTGAAAGCCACTGCGACCGTGGGCTCCAGGGCTTTAAGACTCTCCTCTAGAGCTGCTAAACATGTTAAGGAAAGCTTGAGCGCCTCAGCAAGGATCATGCTGAGAAAAGCGATGAGGATGCAGCTCAGAGGGTCGAAAAAGACAAGCAAAGGCTCGACAAGGGTAAAAGGAGAATGGAGGAGAATCATAAAAAGAGGAAATTATCCCATAGTAGCTCCACCTCTGGGATGTTCAGCACCACCGTTGTCCCTACTGCTAAACAAGTTGCGTTTTCTCCTTCGAAGTTGATGGAGGCTTCAATGAAAGCCGTTAAAGTAGAGGCGATTTGGAGGGCCAATGAAAAGGCTGCAAAGGAAAAAGAGCAGGCCTTGGAGGCCGTGATGAAGGCAGTAGTAGTTCAGACCCCTAAAAAGTTAAGGAGGTTCCTAATGGGACAAGACAAGGAGATTGCTCCTGTAGTGATGGGTATGCAACCATTTGAAGTCTGAGGCGTCATTACTAATTTTTACAAGTTTTGAACTGATACGTGACATTCATATGTTTCTACCTACGACACGATGGACCTTACAGCAACATTGGTGAGCTTAAGGGCTAGAGCCTTTGGTGAGCCAAAGTTTTCAACTAATAAGTGGCAGTCATATGTTTCTACATACGACATGATAAACCTTACTAATAAAGCTAGTGAGGTAAAGTGCTAGAGCCTTTAGTAAGGGCTTGGAATGCCAAGAGGTGCTAAAGGACATCCAGACGCGCAATAAGGAGTCGATAGATAAATTGGCCTCGACTAAGGAGGAGATAAAGAAAATAAAAATGGAGGCCGAAAAGCTGAGGGGCCAACGAGTTGAAGAGGTAGCTAAGTTGGATTTTGCTTTAGCAGAGATTGAGGCTCTAGAGACAGAGGTTCATGAATCCC